TGTAGACATACACACAAATATATATATATATGTATATATATATAAACAAGCATATATATATATACAGAAAGAGAGAGAGAGAAAGAGAGAGAAAAACATTGTAGAAAGGGAAGCGAGAGAGTATGGAACTAGAAAGCGAAATGTGTAATAAAGGCGTTCGAATATCGATGAATTACAATCAGGAATCGCGCAAATACATTTATTGGTAACCAGTTCTGAAAGAACGGGTCGGTTGTCGATCAGTCATGCTGTATTAGAAATCGCTTCTCGGGTTTTCATCGATCTTTTTTGATGCTGGAAAGTAAATGCGACAAGAGGCAAAAACAAGTTGAGATGCGTAAAAAATAAATTAAGATGGCGTATAAGCAAGGCCTCCATGGCAGCAGTAGTGGCTCCGGCAGAAGACTGAGAAGTAAGATAGAGAAAGGCAGAGAGTAAGTGGGAGAAAGAAAAATGGTAGATAGGAGTGAATAAGAGGAAGTAAGGATATAAAAAAAAAGGATTAAATGCGCAATTGTAGGACAGTGGAAAATAAAATAAATAAAGTTAATGGTGTGAAGGATAAGAAAGAAGAGTAGATGTAGAAAGAAGACCAAAAAGTAAATTGGAAAAGAGGAGGAGGAGACAAGAGTAGAAAAATGGGATGCACGAAAAGGAAAATAATTTCGGAGAGAATGCACAAGCTGAGAATAGAAAGGTGTAGCGCATTAAAAATGGAGAAGGTGAAGAAGAAGAAGAGGGGAATGCAAGGAAGAAGAAGAAGAAGAAGAAGAAGAAGAAGAAGAAGAAGAAGAAGTAGAGGGTATGCAAAAAAGAAGGGGAAAGAAGAAGAAAAATCATAAGACGAGGGAATACACGAAAGAAGAAGAAGAAGAAGAAGAAGCAGAAGAAGAAGAAGAAGAAGAAGAAGAAGAGGAGGAGGAGGAGGAGGAGGAGGAAGAAGAAGAAGAAGAAGAAGAAGAAGAAGAGGAGGAGGAAGAAGAAGAAGAAGAAGAAGAAGAAGAAGAAGGAAATGTACCAAAGAAGAACAGTAGGAGGAGGTAAAGAATAATAATAAGAGGGTATTACTCTAAAGAAGAAGAAGAAAAAGAAGAAGAAGAAGAGAAGGGGGAGGAAGAAGAAGAAGAGAGGGAAGACGAAGAAGGAAATACACGAAAGAAGGAAAGGGGTATAAAGAAGAAGAAGAAGAAGAAGAAGAGGAAGAGGAAGAAGAAGAGGAAGAAGAAGAGGAAGAAGAAGAAGAAGAAGAAGAAGAAGAAGAAGAAGGGAATACACGAAAGAAGGAGAAGAAGAAGATAACGAGAGTGGAAAAGAAATAGAAATTATAAAATACGTTACAAGAAATCATGATGTAAAAAGAAAATCATTGGGGAAGAATAAGTATTTGAAAAAATAAAAAGCCCCAATGTCGGATATAAAAAAATGCCTAAATCAATTCTGCTGACGTAGAAACGAGATAGAAATAAGTTTAAAAATGGGAAAAGAAATGGAATATTATTGGGAATTAAGTCTTGTGTATTTAGCACAGTAAGCAGGAAAACGGAGAGAATATATTTTAAGACTGTAAACATAGAAAGGGTTAAAGAAAGAAATGAATACATGAATAAGAAAGAAGGTAAGTTGAAAAGTCAGAAAAATGAAGAAAACAAAGAACAAGTAAAAGAGAACAGGAAGATGATAAAAAAAGAAAACTTATAATAAAGAATGTAATGTTAATTCGCAATTTTCGTTATAAAAAAAAGCTAGTCTTAAATCACTAGTAAATAGGCTAGTATGCTTGCGCCATGGTTCGAGCTGGTCTAACAATTGCCCTTCGATATGGTAACTACCGATGTAAATATTTATTTCTAGTTGAAAAAGTTCCCATTATAATGCTGTACCATAGTTATAAATAGAATAAAACTACTTTTTTCACATTAAAATGTATCACTCAAGAGACAATTACACAACAATTTGCATGAGTTCCGCTGAGCAACACATACAAGTAACGTAAACCAATTTTTCGTTTTTGATTTGTAGAGCTATGGGGGTGTTCACACCAATCATTATTTCTCATAGTAGTTTTAAATGACAACATCCAGGATAACATACAATCTATATTTCTAATTAAAATATAACAAAATTTAGTATAACATGCAAAATTTATTTTTCAATAACGTTATACGGTATTTTTGCTGCGTTAACAAACAAAATTTCATAATATTATTTCTCATTACAGAGAAACATAAGACATCTGCATACATGATTAAAACCTTATTATCATCACCATTTGATGCAAAGACCTCATCATAAAAATAGTCATTTATAGTTTCGTCATATAGGTCACAGTCGCTCGTCTTATAGTACGGATAACAGAGACAATCATGAAAAATTACCCAGATTTCGGGTCTCGTCTCATTTATAGGTCGCCTTATACGTGGAAATATACGATACTCAGTACAAAGCCAAAGAGCCACTCAGAGTAGAGTTTTAATAAATGAAGCTGTTGAAAGAAGATAACGCGTGACCCTTGACTTGAAGATGTTAAAATTCGCGATTGATTGATTGCTTTCTTATTTTTTTACGTACATTTTTTTTCTAACCACTTTGTCCCAGACAAGGTGATAATCACACTAAGACGCAAGTAGCTACTGAGAATGAAAGAGAAGGAAAATATTTTACAAGGAACCGGAAACCCGACCCTAAACAGGGAAGAAGAGATAAACTTTTACTCCTATTCAAAAAAACGGACACGAGTGTGAAATGAACGATAACAACCTTTTGAATGCTATTTAAAGCCAGGAAATATTTTTGTATTGTAAAATTTTTTTGAGATAATAGTAATTTACTGAGACAAGTCCTATTAATTAATCCATAGATGGGGGGTTTATACCTTTCTCAAGATTATTTACGTATAAGTGAACCCGATTGGAATTTAAACTCCGATTTCCAATTCCGGAATGTCCAAGATTACAGCACCTAATATTCTCAAGAGGTTTCTAGGTACTGACCAGGTTCGACATTGCTTAACTTCAGGAAAGGTACGAGAACCAGTATATTAACATTGTCGTTGTCAGGAAAGCATTATCTCGGGAGCCTGTTTCAAAAATTAGAGGTTCTAGAGAAGAAACTGTATGAATGGAACTTGCTCTTTGTCAATGGGATGCAAAGTGACTGAAGATGATTTGATTCTGTGTACATGATATTGGGTTTAGTTGTGAAGGTCTGAACTGGTGTAACTATGAAATGCGGCTCTTCAGAATAATTTCCATGACAATAGCGATAAAGTGGTGTGAAGCTTATGACATGTATCATCCACAAAGCCACGTAGAGACTTATGAACCCTTTTTCTATTTATGTGCCATGTCCTTTTTAGGATGTAGGCGATCATGCCTTACCACCTCCCTCTATCCCTTGCAGCTCTCAACAAGTTCTTTCCTTCTGCTCCCCCCCCCCAGACCACGATCTGTCATCCTCATGTTTAAGGCCGATAGGTATGTCATGCGTTGTTTTTCCTTGTCTCTCTTTCCATCTATTCAACTCGTGAGTATTAGGTTCTCTAGGCCCTCCTTTCTTATTATGTGTCCCTTGGTGTTAAGTATAAGCCTCCTCGTTGTTTGCATCCTCTTTAAGACCTCATCTTTGCTCACACGCTTAGTCCATGATATACTTAGCATCATTCTGTAGAACCACATCTCCGTCACCTCGAGTCTCTTCTTCATCTTTGAGGAAATCGTCCGACATTCGCTGCGGTAAACAAACACACTATCAATGCTAAAATTGAAGATTTAGCAGTTCTAGACCAGATATAGCTGCAATACTCTATGTTTGGTCTGGCCTGGTTCCTTCAAAAATAACGGAGTATTTAGTCGGAGGAGTCAGATACATTATGAAGGGGTACAAAGAACTGAATATTTTCCCAGACTCTTCAGCAGTGAGTCGTTTAGATGAGTTCCACTTGGGGTCTAGGCGAACATTAGTCTCAACAGATGCTTAAAGCATTGAGAGGCTTCCCGTACTTTCATGGAGAAGTTATCAAAACAGAAAGTGTTATATAGGAATAAAGTATCGCATCCGACTCTTGAGTTTGAACATAGATCGCCAGTGAGTAAACACAGGCGATCCCATAATTGATTTATGTAGACCACGTGACCATAGAGTGAAACGCATAAGTAGAAAGTAGCGTGTCTTCTAAACGATCGCTATTTCTAGTCCGTCCTCTATACTATTCGAATCACAATTTCTACTCTATCCTCTATTACTATACGGACCTCTATTCTCCACTCTATTCACTATACTATTTCTCTATTCAGATCACTATGCGGATTACTATTCAAGCGAGTATTATCGAGCAAGTGCTATTAGTGCTATAGTATAGAGGAAACACATATATAGAAAGTAGCGCGACATCTAACTGATCTGTATTTCTAGTCTAACCTCTATACTATACGGAACGTTATTCTCTACTCTATTCACTATACTATTTCTCTTTTCGGATCACTATACGGATTACTGTTCGAGAGAGTATTATCGAGCAAGAACTATTAGTGCGAGTGATATTCGAAGGCGTTTGACACAAGTATTGTTAAACGGCGTTACTAAAGTTGTATCTGCGATTACAAAGACTCTACTACAACGAGCATTACAAATGAAAGTTAGACAAGTTCATCCTAGTCTGCTCCGTTGATTTTTTCACTAATGGCCTTGGGAAAAGGATGAATCAATTGCTTCTCTCTCACCGCTTTTGAGTAAATAGTAGGGTAGACCGGTATTTCTAGCTGTGACTGTCAGCCAATCTAGAAAATCTGTAGAGAAGACTAACAATCTCAATTAATTATGGCAATTCATAAATAATGAAGGAAAAGAAACTGTGGAGAGGCATGATCGCCTACGCCCCGAAGAGAGAAGAAATAAGTGATAAAATAATTAAAATGTAATGATGAAAAGCAAGAGCGAAAAAAAAGAAGATTAAAAATATATAAATGAATGCAGATGGAGAGAAAGAAATAAAGTAAGTAAAATTAATAAAAAAAAAAGACGAAAAAATGGCGTGAAGAAACAAAGCGTTCTGGCGAAAAAGAAAGACAAAAGAATAAAAAAAAAAACAAGGAAGAAAATAAGAAGAATGAATAAGTTTGAAAAATAAGAAAAAGATAAAAGAAAGAGAAGGAATAGGAAAAAAGGAAAAAAAAGAAAATAAAAATATACGGAAGCACAAAACAGAAAGAAAAAATATTCAAGGTATGGAACAAGAAATAACTATAAATAAAAACAAGGGAAAAATTAGAACCAAATAACGCCAGATAAAAAGCAAAGAATAAAGTACGATTGAGGAAATAGAAAAAGAAAAACAATGAAAAAGAAGCAACTATGGCAAGGGGAGAAGGGTGGTGAAAAATAATAAAAATAAATAAATGCTGAAAAGAAATAACGCGTGCTGAAAAAAGGATGAATAGAAAAAGAGAAAAAGAGAAGGGAACAAGAATAAGTACATAAAAATAGTGAAAGAAATAATGGTTCACAAATAAAGAAAAGGCTGAAGAAACCGCGTAGGAAGGAATAACAGCGGTAAATTGATAGGGAAAATAGAAAATTAATTTGTTGAAAACAAAAGAATCCAAAGAGAAATATTCGAAGTGAAACGAGACAAAATAAATAGGGAAAGATTAAAACAGTGGTTATTAAAAATAACAAGAAAAGCTGCGAAAAGAATCGAATACGGAAATATGAAAACAAAAATAAATAAAAAAAAATGTGATCGGAAAAGATCAAAGAATGCATGAAGGAAATGATATAATAAAAGAAAAAAATGTAGGAAAAGAAAGAAAAAAAAACTGAATGCTAAACAAGAAGAAAAAAGAAAAAAAACATCTTAAAGAAGAAGAAAACAAAGAAAAAAGAGAGAAAGAAAAGGAAAAATAAAAAAAAATTAAGCAAGAAAATAGCAGAAAAAATAGATAAAAAATTGAAAGAAAAGGAACGAAAAAGAAAGAGATATGGAAAAAAAAACAGTAGAAATAAAGAAAAAGACGAATTGAGTAAATAAAAAAAAAGAAAAACTGAAAACAGGTAGAAAGGAAATAGATAGAAAAAAAGGAAAGAAAAAAAGAGACAATATAAAGAAAGAACGAAAAAGAAAGAAACAATTAAACAATAGATAGAAAGGAAACAATAGAAAAAAGAAAGAAAAAAATGAGACAATATAAAGAAAGAACGAAAAAGAAAGAAACAATTAAACAATAGATAGAAAGGAAACAATAGAAAAAAGAAAGAAAAAATGAGACAATATAAAGAAAGAACGAAAAAGAAAGAAACAATTAAACAATAGATAGAAAGGAAACAATAGAAAAAAGAAAGAAAAAATGAGACAATATAAAGAAAGAAATTAGACTAAAAAAGAAAGAAGAAAAGCAAAAACGAAAGTAATAGATAAAAAGAAAAACGTATAAAGAAATGAAAAAAGATGACGGCAAAAAGGAAAGGAAATAGTAAAGCAAGTAAACAAAAGACAAAATATAACAAGAAAATCTATAAAGAAAATAAATAAAAAAGATGAAAGGAGATTCAGAAGGGAGAAAAATAAGGAAGATAAACGGCAAGGAAAAGAGAAAAGGTCAAGACGAAAACACAATAGAAATAAAGAAAGAAACACCGGATGCTCTGCTGATTTCTAGAGCTTAGAATTGTGGGTAATGGATGTGTTTCTTTGTGTTTCCCAGTTATTTTGGTCCGATTAACAATGATAGAAATCCCCAACCACAACAGTCATTTTGTCGGTTTGATTTACTTTTGTAAACAGCTCATTAGTACATACACCATTCTGTCTTAAGAAACACACTTACATACACAACTGTCCATATACACGCATTCCACGCACACCCAGACAAAAGCGTGTTTGAGCAAAGAAAAAACACAGAGACGCGCGTGCACAAACACACACACATATATATATACATTTAATACTACAAAATATAAATACACACTCAAAAAACACGCCTATATATACTGCAGGTATATATATATATATATATATATATATATATATATATATATATATATATATATATATATATATATATATATATATATATATATATATATATATATATACACACACACTTGTGTATATATATATGTGTTTTTTTGTGTGTTTATTTAGATATGTGTAGTATCATATGTATATATATGTGTGTGCGTGTGCTCGTGTGTATGTACCTCTGTGTATGTGTGTGTGTAGATGGATTTCTAAAGAATTGATGTATTTATTTTTACTCCGATATTTTAATGATTTTCGTATTTTCAAACGTAATTTTTAGCGGATACCAGCGTTTGTAATAGACGCTCCATTCCTTATTCTAAAATGCTTGAATTATGTCTATCGGCCTGCACACTCAAAAACGTGGTCTTTGGAAGGGTTCGAGCCTGCATACCCCTTTGTAAGAGAAACCACCATTTGATTCTGTGTGCTTTAGATCATTTGGATATATATATATATATATATATATATATATATATATATATATATATATATATATATATATATATATATATATATATATATATATATATATACTATCTATATTTCTGTTGTCTGTTTGTGTGTCTGTCGTGGGCGTTGTTACCTCGCCCAGGCCGCATTTCTCACCCGATTTCGATGCGGTTTCCAACACAAGTTTGCAAATGGCTGCCGTAAGGACATGACGTAGCCCGATTTTTGAGTTCGGAATCAGGTTCCGAAAAAATCGATAATCGAAAAAATTCTGCTTGCAGAAGGAATGATGGCATTTCAACCAAATTTGACACCCTCTTAGAGTCTACCATTAGAAGTGTTGTCCAGAAGTTTCATGACCACGGACCCTTAAACAGCGCGGAAAATCGATAAAACCCAAAAACCGATACGCCCAGATTGCATCTGAACCGCATGTCGGTTTTTAGCGAAAACCGACAGGATTTATGAGGAGGCCATTGGGAGTCATCATGTGAAGTTGCAACTCTGAGCACCCCACAAACAGAGTGCAAATCGACAATCGGTCAAACCTTAAAATGTTTTTCCGGTTTTTAAAGCTGATCGTATTGTGTTTATTTTTGTTTAGTTCTTTTTTCGTAACAGATTTAATGTTTACAATAGAGCTTAGAAAAAGTTGGCAGTGTGAGATAGGAAAGAAGTAAGGCATGTGACAACATCAGCACAGCAAAGGGCACTCCTCTAAAAAAAAGGAAGGGCAAAAATATTTTAAGTCAAGTGATAGTGATTGCTGTATTAGTCGTACTATTTTTGAATCAAGCACTGGCAACGCCGGGCCATGCTGCTAGTATATATATATATATATATATATATATATATATATATATATATATATATATAAGCTGTTCAGTAAAATGAATGGAGCACATTGGCTGCTTGTCGTTTGTTTACGTTTGTAAAACCAATACACTAGATTTGGCTAACTCCTTTTGTCGAGTGAAGATGGCTCATTGGTAGAAGCTCTGACTGACACCAAAACGATTATTTTTCGACCCGGGCTTGAGGCATTCGGTTGTCTAGTCGCACTAACGAGCTGTGATACAGTAAAGCTGTATTGGATGCGAATGACATAATATATATATATTTTTACTCTTTTTTTTTTATTTTTACACACACATACACATACACATACACACACATACACCCACACATACACACACATATATATATATATTCACTTGCATCGATGGTAGTTTGCAAAACCCGGGTTTTACGATCATCAAAGATGCTGGTTTATTTTTTCAAAAGTGAATCTATTTATGCTTATTTTTGTTTGATTATCTGGGTGTGGTGCAGTGAGGGATTTTGTTCTATGTTTTCTTGGGATGACAGAATCCCCCTTCTGTATCACACACAAATAATCAAACACAAATAACCATAAGTAGATCCACTTTTGAAAAAAAAAAACCAGTTTGTCTGATGATCGTAAAAGCATGAAACCCGGGTTACTAACTATTATCCATGAAACTGAATATCTTAGCTCTATCACTGAGCATATATCTTGAGCACTTTCCATTAAGTACTGCGCATATATATATATATATATATATATATATATATATATATATATATATATATATATATATATATATTGACGATGATGCAACAAAGTGGAAAATTTTTATTAAAGACGCGTTTCACAAGAGATGCAAATGCTTTCCTTGACTTCATCAGCCTAAATTTAGTCTGGGAAGCCAAGGATAGCACACGCTTATTTTGCAAAACGCGTCGTTAAATTTCATCATTCTCACTTTTGTTTCGGATTCTGTTATACATCCTAAACACACACACAAATGCTCACACACACAAATACTCACACACACACAAATACTCACACCCGCACAAATACTCTCTCTCTCTCTCACACACACACACACACACACACACACACATATATATATATATATATATATATAAGTAAAAATTGAATGCGAAAATCATTTTTTCATATATTTTTATTTTGCTAATACGGAGAAACACAGTGAGGGTCTTCAAAGAAATTATGATTGTTCCTGTAACCTTCGACATTGCTCGACAGAAGATTTTCGTTTTTTTTTTTTCATTTTTGACATAGGAAATGAACAGGAGTATGACATTAAAGCAAATTATTAGAATCGGATATAAGTAAAAATATTGAGAATCATAAAAAAAATTGGAAAAACTTAAAAGAATAAATAGAGAAATGAAATAAAAAAACAAACTCAGCAGCAAGAACTGACGAAGGCTGCAGATGCAACCGAAAATTCTCGTGATTCTTTCAAAGAATTTATTGTGCTCCTACATGTCAACTAAATGAAAAAAATACAATAAAACATATTTTCAGCCAATTTGCATATATTGTTATCAAATAGGTGCATATGTGGATATTTAATATCAACACACACGCGTGTTCGCGCGCACACATATTTAATATATATATATATATATAAGTAAGATGACAACAAATGAAGTATAATTACATTGTCTGTAACATCTAATTTAAAAGAGGGTTTAATACAGAGTAGAGCTAAATTTATTGTTGGAGATTAAAACAAAAACGTGTTAAAAATCGCTACATGAGAGCAATCGTGTTTCAGCGCTACAAAAGTGTCTACCCGGCCGATTGTAAATTAATGGCCAGTGAACGCTTAATTTAACTTCAATGTGTAGCAATTTTAACATATTTATATATATATATATATATATATATATACATACATGCATACATACATACATACATACATACATATATATATATATATATATATATATATATATATATATATATATATATATATATATATATATATATATATATATATATATATATATACATACATGCATACATACATACATACATACATATATATATATATATATGAAGAATGAACTATAAAGTGGTGGATGCATATATATTCCCATTGTCCACTATGCAGAGTAGTCACTAAATGTGGTTTGGTTGAACCTATAACTACAGAAGTGACATACTTAATGATTATTTATAATTTTAATCTACTTATCTGTAGTTTAAGTGTCACTTGATCGCGTGATATATATATCAAAATAAAATATTTATATATATATATAATTAATAAAAATTGTTCACTTAACTCATGTTTACTTCAAAGTTTCGTAGTTACATAGATGCAACTACTCATCAGAACAGAGTCAAACTGCTAATATTTCTTGATTACTTTTTAATTTTATTGTAGTGCGAGTTCGTTATTTTCCTTTTTTTAGTTCGGTGGACTGATTCTTTATTGCACTTCCTATCCCTTTTTTTTTCTATTCTTATTCTTTTTCTTTCATTCTTAGAAATAGGGAAAACAACTGGAAAAATACAAAAAATTAATAAACAAATAAAAAAAATCTATATATACAGGCCATCTACAAAATAGAAACAAGTAACTACAAAATCAAACTGAAGAAAAGATTACTAAATTCTATAAAAGCAGCAACAATGAATTGGAAAACAACTTAAAGGAAGAAGCAAAAATCATAGCCGCCAAATTAAAACTAGACAATAGAATAAAACAATTCCAGAAAGTATTTCAATTCATTAAATTCAAATTTCATAAAAACACTTTCTTAAATAAACCAAAAGGCAGACCAAACCAACAAGAAAGCAACATTGGAAAAATAAACAAGCAAATTGTAGAAAAGATATCCAAAAATTTAAGCAGCATACTAAAAATAAACTAATGGACAAATAAAAAAAGAAACAATTGGTTTATCATCACCAACAAAATTATATGTTCTTTCATACAGCTAGACATAAAAAAACACTTACCCACCCATCAATGAAAACGCATTAAACACTAAACCTGGCACAACAACGAATAAACATTTCAAATGAAGATCTAAACATTATCAATATATATCTTCAATAACTTAACACACATCATTAATATAAAAGACATAGGCTTATACAGAGACGACGGCCTAATAATCGTAAGTAATTGCAACGAGAGAATAATAGAAAAAATATAGAAATCTTCAATACATTAGAATTTAAAATAGACAT